AAAAAACAAAATAAGTCTCTTAACAAGTACTGGGTACTAACACAGGAGTAGTATATTATTGAGAAGTGAGTTCTTGACATCTGACTTCCTACATTTTAAATATTTTATTTTCATTTTATGTGTATGAGTGTACTGCTTACATGTGTGTAATGCACCCATGTAATGCAATGCCCACAGAGGTCAGAAGAAGGTGTCAGATCCCCTGGAAATAGAATTAAGGATGACTGTTAGCCACCAAGTGGGTATTGGGAATCAAACCCAGGTCATCTGCAAGAGCAGTTAAAGCTTTTAACCACTGAGCTATCTCTCCCACCCCCTGACTCCCTACTTTAATTTCATGTAAGAATCTAGTACCCTGGAGCTGGAGAGATAGCTCAGTGATCAAGAACACCGGCAGCTCCTGCAAATGACCCAGATTCAGTTCCCAGCACCCACAAGATAGCTCAAAACTGTCTTATAGCTTCAGTTCCAAGTGAACCAACACCCTCTCTGGCCTCTGGGGGCATTCTATGCACATAGTGCACTTAACATACACACAGGCAAAGCACTCATACACATAAAATAAAAGTAATTTAAAAAATAATCAAGTATCGCACATTAAGAAAGTGATCAGAGGCTGGGTGTGGGCACATGCCTTTAATCCTAGCACTTGGGAAGCAGAGGCAGACTGATCTCTATGAGACTGGGGCCAGTCTGATCTATGTACCAAGTTCCAGGCCAGCTGAGGCTACAGGAAGACCCTATCTCATAAAGACCAAAAACAAAAAAAGAAAGAAAATTTTCAGTGTGCATGTATGTGATATTGAGAAGAAAAGCCACTGTAAATAGCACGTGTAGCATTTTTCATGAGAATCTGAAAACATAAATTCCTCATTGTAAATGATTAGATATAAAAAGATTCCTTTCCATGCAAATATATTTAATAAACACACTTATATTTATTTTTACTCTGTTTAGGATTCATTATATTTTATATAATCAATGTTAAAATATAGACAATGCGTACAACTACATACACTATCTACAGTACTGACAGTAAAAAATAATGTTTGCTAAAAGCCTAGTACTATTATCTTCTCAATACACACAGTGAGCTAGACTTTTGAATTTAAATGAATTTTTATTAAAACTTACTGCATTTACTTATTTATCTATGTGTTTGTGCATGTATGTGGTCGCGCATGTGGTAAGCAGAGAAGAACCCGTGGAATTCAGCTCTCTCCTTCCATTATAGGGTTCCAGGAACCAAATTCAGGATGTCAGGTTTGGTAGCAAGTGCTTTTATCCATTGAGCCATCTCAGTGTAGCCTGTAGAATGAGCCTGCATTCTGTTCTTAAATACATAATAGCAACCACATTCAAAGTGAGTATCTGGAGAATTACTTGCAGTAATTTGTAGTATCATATGGTTAAAAATAATATCATTGATCTTTTTCTATAGCTAAATCACTTGGTTGACTTGTGTGACTTTAGGTCATAACACAGTCTAGCAGAGTGGCTCATATAATATAGTAGTTTAACACATCTTCAGCTATCTGATCAGTCAATAAAGAATAAGCATGTCATTCATATCTGCATGAAATACTTAGAAATAAGAAATTGAAAAAAATTACTTAATTTTTTATTTAACAAATATTCTGTTAATAAATTTAACATGATTTCTTAGCTTAAAAATTATCTTACCATGCCAATAAACCTGCCAGCGCAAAATTTTCATATTTTGGGAAACATCTACTTGAGCTCAACTTGAAAGAACTGTGAGTAAATATATATTTGTATGCATATATAAACCAAATTAGTATATACCATAGATACATATTTACATGTATACATTCCATATTGACAATACAAATGTGTTCTACTTTCCAAACCAATGTATCATTAAACTTATTTGTCAGATCTCGTTTAAATTATTTTGAAATCATAAGTATTTGGCTATTAGATCATACATATGTGTATTTATATATATCTTTATCTGTATGTATATGTGTAAATATGTGTGTATATTCCTATAAGCGATTTCTTTCAAAATCATCTAAGTCACTCTGGAAAAATTTCTACTGTGATAGAGGCACATATGGTAAGCTGTTAGATTCTACTTATTGATACATCTTTCTATGTTATTCTCTTGATAATAAGATGCCATCAACTTTAATGTACTTTCAATTACAGAGGAAAAGATTATATGTTAAACAACTACACTGCTTGTAAGAACTACCCCAATTTCAGAAATATTAAATGTCAAAAAAGCCCTGACATTTAAATAATATAACCCATGTGTCTGGTATGTCAAAATAAGTTATATTCAACAATATATTCAGCCATCTAATTGCTGTGGTTCAAAGTAGGATTGGCACTGGAATGACTTGCAGCCTCTGGATTGTAAATCTAGCAGGGAGCTATGTGTGCGCACAAATACACACAGAATAAATGCATTATGGCATTGCATTCATCAAAATTTAATCATGGAAATCCCAATTCTCAAAGTACAGTTAATTCTACATAAGCCAGGAATGATTCAGTATATAAGAGGTGTAAGTTTCAATGGCAAATAATATATAAATATACAGGGACTGGAGAGATGGTTCAGTGGTTAAGAGCACTGGCTTCTCTCGCAATGGACCTGGATTCAGTTCCCAGCACCTACACGGAGGCTAACAACCATTTGTAACTCCAGTTCCAGGGGATCTGACATCTTCTGACCTCCAGGAGCATTGCATGACACAGGTGCACTTATACACATAAAGGCAATATACTCACACATAAAATAAAAATAAATAAAGTATTTAAGTATATATACATATACAATCCTGCAGGTTAGTGACCCAGAGCACATTATAGAGCATTGATTTCCCACAAGATAATATAAAACTCATGTACACAGTAACAGTTCTGTTCTTGGTCTTTCCTATAACTTAAGCCTCTCATGCTGCACAATTACTTTTACATAATATACCTTAGTATATTTTAGTTATCAGATCTATTTCACTTATAACAAAGGGAATTCTAACTTCAGGTGGAAGCATACTATTTTACTGTTATGTGTTCTTTTATGATCTTTCAATTATCTTGACTATTTTTAAAAGTGTATTAGATTCCTATGTCAGAAAACTTCATGTTTCAAATTTTAGAAATCCACAAAACTAGGAAGGATTAAACAAGAATTCCATTTAATGAACTGTATTATACTTTTACCTCAAGGACTAAAACTTTACATTTGGTGTGTTGAAATATTCATATTATAAACAATCTCAAAACATGTGAATATTTATTATGAAGGAAATAATTTTTTACTGAAAGAGAAATTATGTGGGTAAGAGGGCAGGACTAGAAAGAGAGGAGGAGAAGGGGTTCTGTTCATGGAGAGGGAAGGGGAGAATGCATAGAAGCCAATCAAAGAATAAAACCCAGACGTCTCATCTTCCATAGTCTGTGCTCTAATCTCAGCTGAGATCAGAACATTCAGTCTGAGGTGCTCAAACAGAAACACATTTTATCCATTTGCCTAACAAGAACAGTACAAGTTTTCATAGAAGGACATTCAACAACATGAATTAACAACTATGATATATGAGTTCATTTTCAGATTCAATAACAATACTGCAGACTGAATGCATTTCAAAGAAAGGTGGTTTATTGTGGTTTGGATTCTGGAGGTTAAAAGTCTTGGGAACTCATGTGTGATGGACTTCTTGCTGGCAGAGCCCCATAGAGACACAGGGCTTCATATAAGAGTAAGGGACTTTGAGTGTGTGTGTGTGTGTGTGTGTGTGTGTGTGTGTGTGTGTGTGAAATAAATATAGATATATAGATATAGATGATCTATCAGTCTGTCTCCCTCCTAGAAACCCACAGAATTCAGTCCTGGGGGCCCTGAATTAATGATTTCATCTAACCCTGATCATTTCCCACAAATCCAGCTCTAAACATGGATCAGGTTGTTCCTTTGTAAAGCTTAAATTTCAACATATGCAGCTTTTGAAAACCTTCAGACAAAATCTACACCATAGCAGACAGACACTGAACTAAGATTGGGGCTAACAGTTTCTCAAAGCTACTTAATTTTTAGACCAAGTTTTTATCTTATGGAGAAAAGAAACAGGAATGTTCTTTGGACTTTGATATCTGATTGCTTCTAAGACTACTGTTGCTTCTAAACAATGTGTCTGCCTTCTGTTCACTTCTGTTACCTTTGTCATGACTGGCTTCACTCTTTGACTCTTGCTTTCTCTGAGGAGGAAGGAAGTCCCTCTTCCAGCAGCACCACTGTCCCTTCAAAGTAGCATCACCCTTTGAAGCCTGTCAAACCTAGAGAAGCCATGGATCTTTGCCCTGGGTATTTTCTACCCTCTAAATTTTAGATGCACAGACTAAACTATAGACCTTCATGTTTTAAGGAATCTTCATGACCAAGTAGTGTTCAGAAATGATTGATAAAAGACAGAACAACTTGGCAGCTATCCTCTGAGGCAGTTAGTCCTCAAAGTGAGTTTTTCAAATTAACTGCAGCAGCATTAACTTGGAACATGTAAGAAATACAGATTGCAGCCCCTACCTCAGACCTACAGAATTGGAAACTTGCAGGGCAATGGGACAGGTAGTTGAAGAACAGAAAGGAAATTTTTATTCATAACAAGTTTCATTTGTACCCTAGAGCCATAAATAACCAAATAGTACTTATCTTCATTCAAAAGCACAATTTTAGTTTAGAGAAAGCCATTGTCTTGACTTTCCAAGGAAGAAACTTTTATCATTTTTAGACTCATTAACACAGCCATTTATCTGAAGTTTCTACAAAGGAATTAAGCAGCACCACCCCAGGTTTCAAACGTGGAACTCATTTTACGTGAGAATGAGGGACAGAGGTGGAACAGTGTGGGGATGGCAGAGCCGCAGATGTAACCATATAGGTCAGATCGCCGCTTCACAGTCGCCAAGTCTTGCCCTGAAAGTTGCCTGTGTTTTCATAACTGATTTTTCTCCATGTCATTTTTCCCCAGATACCTTTATCAATGAATGTGTCAAGCTTTCTGGCATACGACCAGCCCACAATAAGTTACTGTGGGGTCCATCATGAACTTCTCTCCCATAAGTCCTTTGAAACGAATGCACAGGAAGATACGATGGAAAGCCACCTAGAGACTGAGCTGGACCTGAGCACAATCACAACAGCTGGCCGCATTAGTGATCATAAACCGCAGCTGGCTTGACCGAGTTGAGCGGTAGCCCAGGGTTGCTACCGAACTGTACCCTCAAGGACAAAATGAGGAAGATTTGTTCATTGTGACTTTCACAAACAAAAATGCCCTGTTTAAAATAAACAAAATTCCAAGATTGATTCGTGAAATATGAAATAAAGAAGACATGAATTGTTTCAAGTCTATACTTTGTAATTAGCTAAGTTGTGCAGTATTTTTTGACTTCGACAGAGTATGACCCTGAGGGGGAAAAAAAGAGAAAATGAATCATTTTTCCCCAAACTCATCCTACCTATGTGTAAAAATTGTACAGCGCTAATGTATTTTTCATATTACAAAGTTTCGATTCTAGAAACTGGTATGTACAGTACCATAATTTAATTACGTTTTACTTTACACCTTTCAGTTTCTAAAATTTTAAATTAACAAAAATGACTTCTGTGTTACTGAGAGTTACTTGGTTTTGTAGGGACTGTTTTGTTACTGCTTTCGTGCCCAGAAACCTTGACTCTAAAATTCTGTGCTGTGCGAACGATGCACGATTTTTATCGTTATCAGGCTTTACTGCGTAGAATTTTATCTACTTGTTCCAGAAATAATACATTAACCAAAAGACGATTTAATTGTTCAGACTTGTAAGGAGATTCTTCAATTACATAGACAGGTTTTTCTTATAAATGAAAAAAAACTCAGATTTTTTTTTTAATCAGTTCTTCTCAGACTTAACTGTTGCCTTGAATTACAGCCTAGTTTCTAAGCAGTGAAATGTAAAGATAAAGAGGGATATTTTAATAGCATATTTCCAAATGAATGACTCATTATTTCATTCCTTTGAGTAACCATTGTTAAGGGTAGAGGAGAGCATGGACCAAACATCCCTCGAAACAAAGGCTGTAACCACAGCAACAGACTTTGATGTACTTACAAGGTGCATCAACTGGTGACAAGGAAAAACTTTTGTTACATCTCATTATTGTCAAGACAAGGTAGGAGGATGCAGCATAATAATTGTACAGTAGCAATTTTTCTGTTAATTAACCCAAAGTGGTTTACCTAAAAATAACCACCAGTCAGTGCAAAATGTGCCTGGTTCTTAAGACAACTTTTCATTTAGAACTGTGAAACTATATTTTGGGAACATTTCAAAGGAAAAATGTGGAATTTTTTATATTGTGTGCTACCTTGATTCTCTCCTGAGAAAGAACTTTAAATATCTACATTGCTTTCAGGATAGACTTCTGAGCCATAGTGGGGAAAGCTTCAACACAGAACTAGACTGTAATGATGTTTCATTGTTTATATTGCTATTCGTTTGGGGATTTATCTACAAATTATCTGAAATATTAACTAAGAGTAATTGGACACCAACCCAAATCACATGTTGGTTGTATGATTGTGTTTTAAACATAATTCAAATCAACATAAGGAAACCTGACTTCCCAGCAACTGAAATGATCAATTTGTTGTTATTTACCTGACAGGTTATTATTTGAAAATATGCATGGTTATCACGCATTCCTTTTTGTTTTAGAGGGCTTCAAATTCAAAATTGCAAGTATCAATTACTATTACATGAGAAAAAGCATTTCTTTATGGTCTCATTTTATATTCGTGACAGCGAAAATAGAGAAAGAATATGACAATCTGATAGGATTCAACAGGGGTCCAAAAAAATTAAAAAGCATTAAAGAAAAGAGCTAGTGAAAAGCAATGTCAAACGTAATTTTCTATCTCCTCCAAAGACAGTCTATCTGTAAGCATCTAGTTTCCCATGGATTGACCGAGCAAACATAAGAGCAACTTCCGGAAGAACTTAAAAGTTGGAAAGCAAATATCTGAAGCAAAATGTTGGACGAAGCAAACTATTAACTTTAATGTAACTATAAATGTCACCGTACTTGTGTCAAATAGTAAGCATCTCAGATTTTGTAACATATTTTGCATAAATTATTTGCTATTCAATTTTTTGTCATTTAAGTCTAATTTTAATCTTAACTTTTTCAATTTCTAATTTCTTTGCAATGTATTATTCTAATTATTCTCAGTCCTTTACAGTGAGATTTCAGTTTGAACAAAATTTATACAGGGTTACAAATCTATTCTTTGTGAGTCTGAAATCAAATGGAGAATTTTATTATGTACACTAAAATGTCATTTGCAACTTTTTCATCAGAAGTCATTCTTGCAAAGATCGAAAGAGGATTAATTTGTGTAACTAAGCACTTTCAAACTTTTCCCAGATGCTTTTCAAATTGATAAATAATTTTTAAGAACTTTTAAGGTTCTAAGGAGTCTTGCAAATGTATGCCCTTGATTTCTCTTTGCAAAGCACTTTGTTTCTTAAACATTTCAATGTATTATTTTTATTAATTCTTGGAAAATTTCATATATGCATATGACACATTTTAATCATATTCACCTCGCATTCCTCCCCCTAACTCCACCCAGATTCAACCTCATCCCCCAACATACATATATATATATATATATATATATATATCCCACGAGTCAAATTTGTGTTGCCCGTATGTGCATGGGTATGGGGCCATCCTCCTGACCATGGTGGACCTGCCAGGGACTACACCCTTGAAGAAAACTGACTCTCCTCCCCTAGAAGGCTTTCCTAAACATTTTGAGTTCATCTAAAGTAAAGGAATATCAGGACTGGAGATATGGCTCTGCAGTTAAAGGTACCAGTTGTTCTTGCAGAGGACCCCACATTCAGTTCCCAGTACTCACCTGGCAGCTAACAACCTTTGGTAACCAGTTCCAGGGGATCCAATGTTCTGTGGGAATTGCATGCACATGGTGTACTTACATACATGCAGGCAAAACACTCATACACATAAAATAAGACAGAATTTAAACAAAGAACTATCAGTAGGAGCCACAGCCTTGGATCTATAGTTAAAAGTACCTGTTTCTTCAGTAAGAAGCCAATAACCTACAAATTTTGAGAAATTTCATATTTGAAATGAAGTCCAAAGTGTCTTTAACAAGAAAAAAATGGATACTTGGTTATGTCATTTTTTTTTTTCTGCCTTCTCAGGGTTGGGGAAGTCATTGGTGATAAAAACTTGCCAGACAAGATGATGCCTAGAATCTTTATCACACATATTTATTTTATGTTAGTTTCTGTCATAAATTTTTATTACTAATTCTTGTTTCAACAATTGATATTCTCCCATTTCCTCCTCCTCACCACCTGCCCAATCTCTATGTGCCCCTTTGAGGGCCACTGCCCACCACTATACAAGTCAAAAAGGCTGTTTACCTGTTGGTTTTCCGTTGTCAGTGGTGGTGGTGGTGGTTTGTTGGTTTTTTGTTTTGTTTTGTTTTTTTAAGTTGGAAAATGGAGTGTGACTCGGCATGATTACAACAGTGGCTGAAACACATGATAAAATCTGGACCACATTCTGGGGTTTGCAGGGTACATGGATTCTCTCATTCTGTCTTCCTTAACAGTGTCTGAAGACACATTAACATCACAAAAGGTGAGGCCTCCTTCAAGAACACAGAGCTACTAATTGGTGCAGTTGAACCACTCTAAAAGTCCAGAGCTTATCTTTCCATTATACTAAAAGCTTTTTCTCTCTGGTCAAAGCCAAAGAACTTCCACAGATAACAGAGAGAATAAAAAGAAAAAAAAATTTGGCAAGCCATTTAGTAATCTGTAATTTAACTCAGTTCTCTCTGTGCAATGTATAAGCCCAGGGAAGTCTTTGTGGACTGTTCTAGGCTACCCTCTGAAAATCTTTTGTTCAGAGGTCTAGTCAACAAATTTCTTTTTATACAAGATCAGTTGTAAATATGTAGCTCAGTTATTCCCAAGATACGATACAAGTAGACCTGAGTGCAAAAAAGACACAAGAAGAGAAACAAAAATTAATTGAAAATGAAATTGTTTAATTATTTTAAAAATCCACAATTCAGGGTTGAACACCTGTGCAACTGAATACATATTTGATTCCTAATTGATTATAAAGACTTTTTGTTTCTTTTTGTGTTTTGGCAGGAGCTTTTAAACCATGAAGTTTTTAAAGTATCATAACAAAGAACAATTTTCCTATTATAAGAAAAATAAAACATCAGTTATTCAAGCAGGCATGGATACCAAAACCTATGACAATCTAAATATTTTCATTTTTCAAGTCTCTATCTCTGTTTCCCCCTGAATGTTCTAGAAAAATCATAAAACCAGCAAAAATTTTAATATAAATCGTATTTTTGGAAGAAAATAAATCCCAAATTTAACACTCAAAACAAACTACATAGCCCAATTTGAACTTGAATCTGTCTGCTTTCATAAACTGCTTAGAAATTGCAAAATTATTTGCAAAAATATTTTCTAAAATAAAACCACTGTTTATGAGAGTAAAAATACACTTGGTTTTGACTATTCCTGACTGGAAGATAGATATCATCTCTGAAACTAAACACTAAAAATAAGTAAGGAAACTGAAAATATAAAAACAGAACTGATGTGAACTGTAACTAAGCTAGAAGAGGGAAAATCAGGTGCTCAGAACAGGTAGCTCATGAGCACGCAGAGGCAAGGGGCCTGGCAGAAGTCCTGCCTCACACAAAAAACTAAGCAATCCTCATAGTAAATATAAGAACATTTTACAGCTTGCGTGTGTGTGCGTGCGCGCACATGCACGCGTGTGTGTGTGCATGTGTGCAAGTATACACGTGTGCATGCACAAGCATGTAGAGGCAGTGATCCTCAGGTGTCATCCATCTTGGTTTTTCCCACAAGGTCTGTCCCTGGGACCAGGGGCAGGTCAAATAGGCTAGGCTAGTTGGCCTGCAAGCCCTAAGCTCTGCCTCCCTGCCACAACATTCAGCTTTTTTACAAGGGGGATCAAACTCAAGTCTTCATGCTTGTACGTCAAGCACTTTAGTAACTTTACCTATGTCCCAGGCTGTGTTATAGCTCTTAACAGCTGACCACATCATTAGTAGTACTACATGTCAGAACGCATCAACAATTTCAAGCTCCTGATGGGTTGGTTTCACAGTGAGAACTTGGATGAACTGTTCTAATAGTAAGAAGTTCATCCAACCACACCCATCACCAGAGTACCTCCCCTCAGCTGTCCCTAAGTAGCGCCTCCAGTGATGGAAGATCCAGGATTGATGCTTTCAAGACTGTGACAAACACACAGGGTGGAGTAGACTAACAATCAGCAACTGTGTTTATTTCACATGCAACTACCTTGGGGAGGGGGGGGATTTGAAAATTTAAAAGCAAACAAACACCAAAATGGAAATGAGTTCTTTTTAAAGGTGTCCTATGGCTTGCAATAGGTTTTATTGTGAGGTATAAAACAACCTATATTTTTAAAAAATTAAATTCAGAGTTAAAGTCATGCTTTAAAAAATCTACAGTTGACCGCCTTTCTCAAGGACACAGAGCTCCAGGTCTCGAGGATTGAAAGAACTCAAGGTCCCTCCTCCTTGCTCTCAAATACTCCTAGATTTGATTTCATAGGATATTTGTCTTGCAAAAACCTGAATGAAACTTTTGTATGTGTATAAATCAAATACTATTTCAAATTCACAGGAGACCCTTAATAAAGGATCCTTGCAGTAAATCCTTTTTGTTTTCTAATCTGAAACACCAGCCACTGGTGAGGACACTGATCTCATTGTTTCTCGTGTACACAATACAGCGCACTTGGACCAATATGACAAATCCACGATGAAGTCTTTGCCTCTGATTACACAAAACAAGGAACTGACTCCAGGTTCTAAGTTGGTCTAGATGAAGGAACCATTTCAGTCAGTTATACTTACTGACTTTAATCTGGATTAATGTGAGAAGTGAATAAAGATAGAATATATAAAGTTGAGAGGTTTTATTTATTTGTTTGAACTTTTGGCACCTATCATATACTCGCAGCTATTGTTAAGAGGTGGAGATGACTCCAAATGGCTGCATGTACTGAGTCGCAGTCTCTGAGATCACACCCAACATATACATTGTGAATGCAATGCGCAAATATAGGTTGATCACAGAGTCTAGAAAAACATGGCCAAATGGATTTACTTTTTCCCATGGCATTGCATTGCTTTTTATTCTGATTTAAAAGTATTAATTCTGTGTTTTATTATACCAGTGTGAGTCAGACAGCTACAAAAAAAAAAATCCCAGGTTGCTTCCTGGCAAACTGTTTAAAGACTTTGCTCCTTTAACTCTTTCAACGGGTAAATTTGAAAATAGCCTGCAAGCTATTTAACTTGTTAGTTACTCCCCTGGATAGTAATATAGCAATAAAAAACGCTGGAGGTAGAGAGGGGTGAGAATTCATTTATGATATCGCAGGCACTGAATTCTCATCTTGTCCTTAAGCCACATTAGAACAGAGGGTTTAAAGAGGAAACTAAGCAGCAGTTCCATAACTTTCCGAAACAGGAGACTTGAGGCTTCAAATCTAGATTTGTCAAGATGCCCTCCCTACCACCCTGCAGCACATTTTAAAACACGAAAGGTGATTTTATTTAGTACAAGTAGACTAATGTGTGGTTAATGCAGGATGAAGCTGGATGTACTAGAAACCAAATACATTTCCATCATTCCAAATTGAAAAATTATACTCTGTAAAGATTTCTTTCAAAATCCCAAGTTATTATCTTAATGGAAAGAAACATCACTACCCTCTTGAGGTGTTAGGTATTAGTTCCTTTAAAAAGTGAACATTTAAAAGAAAAATCCTAGGCTGGTGAGATGGTTCAGCAGCTGCTGTCAAGCCTAAGGACCTGAGTTTTATCCCAGAACTCACATATAGAAGGAAGGGAATGATTGCAAAAGTTATCTTCTGACCTCCACATGCAGACCATGGCCTACACACACACACACACACACACACACACACACACACACACACACACACACACTAAATGTAAAATAATAGTCCTTCAAAAAGTAAACACTCAAAAAATGTTTGTTACATATCTGC